AAAAAGTTTTTTTTTTTTTTTTTTTCATATAGGATGAAACATTAGTCCACTGTAGTTTGCAAGAACTTTCGGATGCAGCATTCCGTTTTCCAGTTGTTTTTCAAGATGTAACATACACAGTGTTCGTCAGAACACGACCCTATTTTCGCGAATTTTTGGAACACGTTTCATCATTATATGAAGTAATCCTTTTTACTGCCAGTAAACGAGTTTATGCAAACAAATTAATGAATCTATTAGATCCAACACGAAAATTGATTAAGTATCGTCTGTTCCGAGAACACTGTGTTTGCGTAAATGGAAATTATATCAAGGATCTATCTATACTTGGTAGAGATTTATCAAAAACTGTTATTATTGATAATAGTCCACAAGCATTTGGATACCAGGTAAGAAAATTTTTTTAGAACATTCGAAATAACGGAACAAAAAAAATATTTGATTGTACATATAGCTCTTCTTATTCTAATAAAATATTTATTTTACAGTTAGAAAATGGTATTCCTATAGAAAGTTGGTTTGCTGATCGTTCAGATAATGAACTAATGAAATTGTTACCTTTTTTACAAAATTTAGTAAATTGGGTAAGTATTTAATGATGTGTTTATTAAGTAATTTGAATCAAATATTGGTAATAATATAAATATCAATGAATATTTCAGGGTGGAGATGTTAGACCACGTATTAGAGAGCAATTCCGACTTTTCAGTTTTCTACCACCAGATTAATTTAGTTATTAAGCATAAAATTAACATTTGAGAAATGGCTAGCCTATGTAGGTACGTACGTGTATAATATATCTTACAGATATTTGATAGATAAATGTAAGATATTAATACAAAGCGTGCAATAATTCACGCCAAAAGAAAAGTCTATCATTTGCAATAATGTTTTATTAATCATGTTTGATAGAAAAATTGTTAAAATGATTAAAAACAAAACATATAATTATTTCGATAAGAATTAAAAGCATTATTATATCAATAATTTCCGTAAAATGAAAAAAAAAAATTTATTATTTGAATATAATAAATTTTGTACTTGCTTGTATTGAATTCAAATTAGTTACAAGATTAACATAAAAAAAAAAATTGAGAAATCAATATCTTAACATTATATTGTTAAGAAATATCACAACATAATAGTTACTAGAATCTATATTTATCAAACTTTGGGCAGGTACCAATCAATAAATAATAAATAATGAAACTTTATGAATTACTAGAGACCAATCAAGATTTAATACGAATGACTGCTAGGGCTCATGTGTTATTGTGAGTAAATTTCATAAATAATATTCTAATCTAAATTGTTCAAAAACAAAGTTACATATTTGTTATTAAATTGCTCTAGCAGTTGCATTATAGAAAATTATGGGTATCTCTCAGTTTAAATATACTTCATGTTTTTAATTATACAGAAAATTACTATAAAATAATTTTAAAAAGATATATATGTATGTATATAAAGTATGCATAATATTAAATTGAGAGGTGCCAGAATAATCAAATATATAGATACCTAAAATTTTTTGTTCAAGGATTTAAAGTCGATTAAATTCAATG